TTAAATGATAAGTCCAAGGAATATGTAATTGGGAGAATGTGATCTAAAGAATTTAGATTCATGAGACCATTCTATTTCGTATACATATCCTAAACATTCCTGATCCTAGGATTACCAATTGGGCATTGACAGTCCGTTAAGATTAGTATGTGTTATGTCTTCTCTTAGGGAGAGTGACTAGTCTCGAGTCATTGGTGTGACTGACACCAAGACAAGCATGTAAGTGCTCAGTAGAGAATGAGTCCACTGAACACGATCAACAAGGTGTTCTCATTCTCATATCACATGAGAACTCATAGTTGGAATAATGCAAAGTAGTCCTTTGACCTGAGGCATCATAGTTATCTTGTGGTTAGGTCCTTGATCTTTCACTATTTCAAAGTCACTCTGACAATGGGTGTCCATGACATAGTTGGGGTTAAGCCACTTAGTCATCAAGGCAAGTGAATGCATAACAAGGGATCTCTAACCTTCAAACTGTTTGAGGGAGAATACTCTATGATATGATTAAGAATCTCTGGCTAGAGTATGAATGAGATTTAGGAAGTTGTTCCAAATTACATTCAAGGTAATCATATAAGTAAAAAAATCACTTTGGATAGTAGACGTGAATAAACTATCAAACCAAACAATGTGGTCAAGAATATTGTCTTAGAGAAAGACTGTATTGCATTGTAATCCTAAACTGAATAGGTTTTCCACCTCTTTTGATTAGCTTGGGTAGCCATGATATACTACTAGGTGTCACTCATGGTTTGTAAAGCCCTAAAGGTGTATAATCACTAAAGGGAGAATTGACAGTATGTTTCAATTCACAATCGATTTGAAGAGTTCTAATCGCCCATTGCCTCGCTAAAAGGAACCTAATGGATCATACACAGTGTAAGGTAGAGATTGAAGAAACAACGGAGATGAGTAAGGATAATTAAATGGTTTAATTATTTATGGCTAGGATTAATTAATATGTTAATTAATCAAATGAATAAGTTCGTATTAGACCTCGGGTGGGCCTCAAGGTCTAATGGGATTTGAATGTCAAGTCCAATAACTCAAGTTGTATGACAACTTGAAAACACAAAGGGCTTGAAGGCCCAATAAACCCATCAAGGCCGGCCATAAAAGTGAGGGGTAGTGAACTTGGCTTAATTGCAAGTTTGCCACTCAAATGTGAGGTGATATAAATGCATCTTTATAGCCATTTCATCATAAGGGTTTTTCTTTAAGGAAATTAGAGAGAACACAAGCTCTCGTTTTCTCTCTAAGAGGCCGGCCACCCTAGAGGAAAATAGCTAGCAATCTTTCTTCCTCTAAGTCAGTCATATCTTCCTCAATGCTCTCCTTGGTGTGGAGACTTAGAGGTTCCCTATTTTGGGAACTTGGAGAATCCATTCCTTCATCCATCCAAGAAGTCATAGAGCTAAGAAGCAAAGTTCCTCCATCTACATCCATGGAGTCAAGGAGTAAGGAGACTAGGGAAAGAAAGCCCTCACATGGGTGAATATCTTTTGCTAAGCAAAGAGGTGCCTCAAAGGTATAAAAGTTTCTCAACTCCTTTCTTTAAGATTTAAGTTGAGTCTTGGTTCACCACAACTACTAGGCCTTGAATTTAATGGGTACAGTTTTGTTTTTGAGTGCATACAAGCATGACTCCGCCTTTTAATTGTTAATTGCATGTATAGATGTTGCTCAAATGAACTAATTTTCACAAATATATCCTTCACTTGGATTAGGATATGAAAAAAATTCACGCATGTAAAAATAATTGCATTTTGTTCTACAAAAATAATAAAGCGTTGGATAAATGCCCTGTATGTAATAAGTTGCGATTTACAATGACCTCTCAGAATAGAACAATGAAGATTCCACAAAAAGTTATGCATTATCTCTCATTAAAGCCCAAGCTGCAACAATTGTATATGTCGACGCATACTGCAATCAACATGAGGTGGCATAAGGACAAACGAGTGGATTCTGATGTTATGAGACATCCTGCAGATGGAGAGGCATGGAAAGAGTTTGATCGGCTGTACCTCGATTTTGCACGTGAGCCTTGAAAAGTTAGATTGGGACTTGCGACAAATGAGTTTAATCCATTTGAGGTTCTAAATCAAAACCACAACACTTGGCCAATTGTCGCAATTTCGTATAATTTCCCGCCTTGGAAGTGCATGGAAAAAGAATATATGATGATGACATTGTTGATAACTGAAGATCCCAACACGTCTATTGATGTTTATTTAAACCGTTGGTCGATGAACTAAAAGAATTATAGAAAAATAGTGTTCCCATGTAAGATAAATCTACCGGGAAGATGTTCACTTTGCGAGCAGCAGTGAAGTGGACTATGAACGATTTTCCCACGTACACTTTGATGTTTGGGCAGAGCACTAAGGGTTATTATGCATGCCCATTTTGCAAAGAGAACATAACGTCTGGTTGGCATGTGGGAAAAGTTTGTTACCTAAGGCATCTTAGAAGGTTGTCGTAGGACCACAAGTTGCGTCAGAACAAGACAGCCTTCTTCAACGACATAGAGATTCGGCCAAAACCTAGAAAATGGTCAAGAGATGAAATTTTGGCTCAAATGAATCGTTTGGATTTTACTCAGTTGGGCAAATTTGTAAATAGAACACGACCAGACACACATTTGAACTAGACACACAATAAGAGGTTGTTCGAGCTCCTGTACTGGTCTAAATTAAAACTGAGACACAACATCGATGTAATGCATGTTGAAAAAAATGTGTTTGATGCACTAGTCGGAACTATACTAGACATCGAGGGAAAAACAAAAGACACAATAAAAGTTCATATCGATTTGGAAAAAATAGGTATTAGGCCAAGTTTATGGATGACAAGGGACAGAGACATTGCTAGAAAGAAGCTTGCATCATTTTCGGTGAAACCGGATAAGAGGAAAGAGTTTTTGCAGTTTCTATCTTCTGTACAGTTTTCGGATGGGTATGCTTCAAACATTGGCCGTTATGCAAATGTGGATGGAGGTAAATTTTCAGGCCTCAAGAGTCATGATTTGCATGTGATACTTCAACGCCTTCTCCCAATGGGAATTTGACACCTCTTGCCTGAAGATGTGGTGAAGTCGATTATGTTGTTGGCGATATATTTTTCTTAATTAACTGCAATATCTTTGCGCAAGTCCGATGTTGAAGTGTTATGCACGTTTGAACAAATATTTCCTCCAGCTTTCTTCACAAGCATGATCCACGTCATGATTCACTTGCCGGAGGAAGCACTTATAGCCGTACCCATCAACTATCGATGGATGTATCCATTAGAAAGGTATTTAATCGCCATAAATACTTTAGTTCGTGATGTATGTACGATTTGACTAATTTTACAGTATATTTTGTTTCTTGATGCAAACTACTGGATAAATTAAAAAAGAGTGTACGGAACAGGGCAAAGCCCAAATGAGCAATCTTGGAGGTATGGGCCGCTTTTGAGTTGCTTACATTTTTTGCAATATACCTACAAGACGTTGAGACTACGTTCAATCGACAGCAACGCAATAATGATAGTGGTGTGAGAAGTGAAAAACTTTCTGTTTTTACCCAAATTGCACAACCATTTGGCAAACCAATTAGAGGGGAGTTGTTTACCAAAATGGACGTGGAGGTAGCATATTGGTTTGTACTTAACAATTGTAAAAAGACAATTACCTACCTAGATAAGCATGAAGAGTCGATGAAGCGGGAACATCCTTCACATTTATATGCCAAGAAGAACCGTGAATTGTTTCCTCGTTGGTTTTGTGACAATGTAAGTTGTTTGTGTTTTGGGTTATTTTCATAATTGTAAATGGTAAATTAACACGTCAACTTTTCATCATTAATTTAGGTGAAGAAATTGAAGGACATGAATTCGCCCGCTTACATGAAGAATTGTACAACTTGGCTATTGGGCCCCTAAGTGCAGAATTGTACTCCGGTTGTCATGTAAACGTCATCAAGTTTTTGGCAGTTGATCGCGATGACAAGCTATGTAAGCAAAATAGTAGGGTACATGTCATGTGCGGGAAACATTGCAGACATTGATTTCTATGGAAAACTTACAAGTGTTGTACAATTTCTTTACAAAGACCGCTATCAAGTTATCCTGCTTAAGAGTTACTGGTTTGATACAAACCCACGTAAGGTTGGAGGTGTTAAGCGAGACGATGGTTTGTTATCGGTCAACATTAACAGATGTTGGTATAACGACGACCCTACATTTTGGCAACGATGGCCAAAACTGTTTTCTATATCGATGACCTTAAGGGTGGGAGGGGATGAAAAGTAGTTCAGAAGATGGAGCACACAGGGCTGTAACGATGACGATTATGGTGACGTTGCTGACACTAGAGGCTTTAACGGAACTTGATGCAGATACACTGCGAGATATGACTATTGTAAAAGAACCGTATCAGGTAGCCGGAGGTCCTAAAATCGAAATGCCGATCAACTCCATTATGATTAATCTCGGGGATCTACCGTGATACAATGCACCCGAGCACGCAAACGACGATGCTGACAAGGAATGTGAGTCTGAATCTAATGAAAGTGATGATATTTATTCTAGTTCAGACGAGGATTAATGAAAACTTGTGATGTACATGTAATGATATTCATTGAATGGTATTTATTTCGTATACAAACAAAAGTTTCCATTAAAATTTGTAAAAAATTAATTAAACAAATTTTTTTTTTATTTATTTAAACAAAAAATAAAATAAATTTATATATATGCGCGATGATGTTTTGGAAATGTTTGTCACGCAAATATTTAAAAATTCATTTTTTATTTAAAAACTAGACGCCAATGAAAATTAGAACATCCTCGTCGTGTAAACATATAAAAATTTAATTCTTTTGGTGAAAATTGGGCACATTTTTATTTTGAAGAAGCTCACTGACTCTATCTCCCTCATTCTCTGCGAAGCTCACTCTTCTCTCTCTCTTAATTCTCACACTCTCTCTCTCTCTCTCTCAATTCTCACACTCCTCTCTCTCTTTCTTGATTCTCTCCATCTCTTGCTCTCATCACTCACTATCTCAATCTCTCCCTCTCTCCCTCTCTCTATCTCTCTATCACTCTCTGTCCTCCGCACTTGACATCGGCTGCCGTGCTCCAATGCCACACCGTCTCACCACCACCGCAACATTACTAGGTAAGCACCCAATATCCCTTATTTCACTCTCCCTTAATTCAATTAATTATTAGTGCAATTTTTCATTTTTTCTGTTGGATTGTTTTAATTAGAACAACTAGGGATTCAGGGTTCGAATTGGGAATCCTGGGTTAGGGTTTTTGAATTGAGAATATTGGGTTATGGTTTTCGAATTGAGAATCCGGAGTTTGTATTATTTTTTGTTTTTTTTTCATTTTTTTGGTTATAAACAAAACTTGGTATCGAATTGGGAATCAAATAGGGCTTTCGAATTGGGATTAGCAACTAGGAAGGAGGGGCAGATCCAGAGGAGAAAAGCACACTAAGGAGTTTATGGGAAATTGGTAAGGGTTTTGAATTGGGTTCTGATCAAATAACGGTTTTGAATTGGGGTTAATTATCTGTATACTAAATTATTTGGGTTTCTGGGATTATTAATTTCTTTCTTCATATTAAATTGCAGTTTTTGATTTGTGCAAATATGATTTCAATATATTTTTACAACTACCTTCTTTTTATTTGGTTGCTGAGTGATCCAAGCACACAAATTGAGAGCATTACTGATACATATAGGGTTTGCTTTGAAACTTTGAAACTTTGAAACTTGAGAGTGGGTTAGAAGTTTTAAAATGTGTTAACGGAAGAAAGAATGTTCTACAACTTGAGTTTCTGATATTTCAGGATCTTGCTCAATTGCCAGCACCATTTGGTATTTGGAATCTTATACTAAACACAGATATTTCAAGTTCCGGTAGCAAAGTTTAGTAGCCTTGTGTTAATCAATAGAGTTTACATTGTTTCCAGTTTACTTAACTGTCTTTGGCTGATAGATTAACTTCGCTTCCCTTAACAGTCGCAGGTATGTCTCATACTAAAATCTAAGAGAGAATTTAAATTTTAATGCTTAATGAGCAAACGTTTATGGATTGAATGAGCTAGTAGGAAGTCCTAAACGGTTGTACATATGAGAAGGTGTTGGAAGAAATTGTTGAAGGTAGTTCATCAATCTTACAATTTCTGCACTTATCAGTTCATCTATGCATTTTCTTTATGGTGATCAGCTTTAACAATATATATACTGCGCAGAGAAATATGATGCAGGTAAGGCCCTCTATGTCACAAACTATGAATTCCATAATTCAGATAATTATTTCTTACATGCACTGAAAACACAGAGAGTCTAATTAATATGTTTAAATGGTAGTCAATGCAAGAGAGCTTTTTAAGCAGTTTGGGTGCTCGGAAAGCCTTTATTAACATGTATCGTTAAAGATTCTTGGAATAGGTAGTAAAGGATAAAGGGTTTGCCTGTTTTTAATTAGAAAAATAAAGGGGAAAAGAAAGAGACAAAGGAAACTGAGTAAGCTAGATGATAATTGTGATTGGTGAAACAATTAGAGAAGATAATTTCAACGCTATTTTTCGTTTGGGAATGAGTACTATATATATTTGTGTGTGTGTGTGTGTATACGTGGATAGATAATATTGCTTTGAATTGATTTATATGCTATTTTGCTATTTGTTTCCCTACACCAACCAACCACTTACCTTCACACCATGTCCCTCCATATATGCTATTGTCTTGAATGTTTTGTCGTAGCTGTATATTCAAATAAGTTCACTGGATTTGGTGTTTTAGTTTGATTTTGGATCTTTTTCCCAAAAACAGATAAACTTAATTTATCTATGTGTGTGTGTGTGTGTGTATCAAGGAAAATGTTATATATTTGACTATTCTTTGTCTATTACTGATCTATTAGCGGATCAGCTACTTAGGATTCATTGCTTATGTTTTTTTTTATAAACATTTTATAGTTTTTATATGCAAAACATAAACAAAAACATGTTGGTGTTGGTGGATTCTGTATATTATGTGCCATGTAATATATTATAATAAATTGACTAAAAGTAGTGGACTGTAACTTTTTTATTTATTGTTTTTGTAGATGTCGAACATAATTTCAAACCACCGGACAGATAATAGGGTCCGTCAGACACCTTCTCCAACAGCTAATGCTACTGCCACCATCCCACTTGATATGGGCACGACGAGTGTGTCTCCGGTCACGCCTTTCGATCCAACAATGTCTCCGGCTCCTACATCTTCGACTTCTTCGGTGACGCATCCTCTACTCAGCGCCCGACAGACTCATCGACGGTCCCAGAGTTCTAAGGAGGCTGAGCAGTCTAGTAAGGCTTCCTTTGTCCATGGAGAGGGGTCCTATATAGGTAATGCATCTTTCTCATAGTATTTTCAATTTAACAATTTGGAATTTAGATTATAATTGTTTTAAAGTCCCTAATTGGTATAAAGTCTTTGAATTGTTGGGTGGATGTGTTATTTTTGTTGTTATATTGTCTACAGGTTTTAGGAAATGTTATAGTTTTAGGGGAGGTTCTACCGAATTTTCGGTAGAAAATAGAATTTGTCCTATGCAGACTTCTGAAGACTTCATAGACCACTCACACCACGACTAAGAAGATCACCATTATGTGGGATCTTTGACATCATGTGGTTGCAACAAAGGAGTATCACAGTGTGTTGGCCAGCGACATTGGCTTAGTTATCATGAATAATTGCCCCTTCATGTGGGAGTCATGGAAAGTTATCCCACCTAAAGTCAAGGAAGCCGTTCTTCATGAATTATCTATAAGTATTTTCAACCTCAAATACTAAATTTTTATTAAGTATGCAAATATTATAAATTTTAACTACTATTCATTTGTTGAGTTTTGCAGCATCACTATAAGCTCGCGAACCTCGATGCCAATCAAAACTAGTACATCAACGAGTTTGCACTAGTAGGTTCACTCAGTGGAAGAACAACCTCCACAAGCATTATGAGAAATATGACGGTCCAGAGGTCGCTCTAGCAGTTGGGTGCCCTAAAGAGTTGGTGGACCGCTGGGATAAATGGGAGTAGCTCTGTGGCCATTTTCAAGATGAGAAATACCTAGTAAGTATAATATATATTTCAATATTATTTAACCAAAATTTTATATTTTTTAATAATATTTTAATTTTTTTCATTAATTTGTTATAAATATCTAAACTAATACGTTTTTTTAATTCAACAGAAAAAAGTGGAGGCAAACTCGATCAATCGATCGAAGAAGAAACTTCTTCACCGCTCTGGCTCACGATACTTCTGTTATAGGTTGGAGGACCGACATAAGGTAACCATATATTTATTTTAAGTTTTGATTCTTTTTACTCTCTATTACACAATTGGTAATCTATATGTTAATTTTTTTTTTTTATTCAGGGGGTCAAAGTTTCTTGGGATTGACATGTTCAATGAAGTATACGTACAGCCCGGGGATAAGCTGACAGAGCAGCTTCATGAAAGTTATTCCAATTAGTATTAATATTAATTACATGTATATTAAAAGTAATTTGTTTGTTTTCATTTTTCTAGCCCTCCACAGTGGATAAGGGCTAGACCATTCTGGAGGAAGTGGCTTCCTAGCTTCCTCTAGAGACCCCACCAATCGAGGAGGTGTTTCCTCCTAAGGATTCGGGCTTTCAGATCATGACAGACACACTCGATCAGACCCTCGGTCATAGGCAAGGGAATGTTCACCGGGGGCTTGGAAAAGCCTGCCTTCGGGACTCGTCTACCTCCTTCTCCAAGCAAGAACATAAGAGGTCGAATTGCTAACATTTGAAGTGGCGAACCTAAAGGAGCAGATTACCGCCCATAAGTCTCACCTTGCGGCCTAAAGTAATTTGATGAACCAAATTCGTCTTACCCTTCAAATCTCTAGCATTCGGTTCCTCGACTTTGAACCAACTCCAACAATGACCTCTCAGCCCCCCGCTATAGCAGCTATGACCACCTAGCCCCTTACCACAATAGCTACCACCTCTCAGCCCCCCAATGCAGCACCAACACCACCAGAAGGCAATTATGATGTGGATAACTACATATTGTAGTTTTTTTTTAATTATTTTCAAATTTTAAAATATTTCTTTCCATTGTATGTACACTTTCAATAATTTTTTAATTCAATATTCTTCTTTACATTTTATGTTTTTAATTTCATTAAATTAACTTCTACATAAAACAATATTATCAACATTTAAAAGGAAAAATAAATAAATAAAAATCATTTAAAAAAATTAATTTTAAAATCTTACTTCAACAGCTTATATGTCCGTCTCGCAAGGGTAACCGCGTCAAACCCCAGTTTCGTCGCTTGGAGTATCACGCACAATGAACACTCATTCGTCGCTCTTTGTTTTGCGCAGTGCAACATTCATTTCGCGAAATGAAGAACTTTCCTCCGTCGCACAATGTCTGACGTCACGAGCTTTGCACAACAAAATTTGCGCGCCGCCCAATATTTCTCGCAACTGTATTTGCCTTTGCGTGACGACTGCCACTTTGTCGCCTAAGCAGTTATGTTGAGTAGTGAATCAATATTATACTATATATTTTACACTATTCTTATAAATTATTGGTTATTTTGGTTGAATTTTGATATTTTGTTCTATATTTCAATTATAGGACATGTGAATCTACTTTAGGCCTAAAGTGATCAAACAAAGGAATTTTGGAGTAATTCCAATTGAAGTATATTTGTGAGTCATTCAAGATGAATGTGCCAAAATTCCAGAATTTAATTCCAAGCTGTTTGATTGTGGTGAAGAAAAGAAGTCCCAGTGCGCAGCTTTTTCAGATTTACGTTTCTGGATCTTTTGGGCATTTTAGAGGTCATGATGGCATATTTTGAGGAAAGTTCATTATGAGGATTTTTTTATGACGTCTTCAGCTTTCATAAAAGACTTTTTGGGACTAAATCAGAGTTGATTTGGTTGGTTAAAAGTCTGATTTTCTCTACAGTCTGAATTTCAGTTTAAATAGGAAACCTTTTATTAGCTATTTTATTATTTTATTTTGTTTCCTAGTTTGTAGAAGGCCTTTTCTAGGAATGATTTTATTGTGTATTTGTATAAATAAGGCTATTTAGCCATTAGGGTTTCTCTACGAGCTACTTTGGAGAACTCGGCTTAGAGAGCTTTTAAAGATTCAACTTTATTTTACAAGGCGTTTTCTATCCATTCTTATAATAATATTTTGTTTTCTTTAATAAATTCATTTTTCTAGGGCGAGGCCATGAGCCTTAGCACAAATATGTTGTTTCTTATCCATTTTCTTATGAAATTATGCATTCATACTTTGAATTATTAATCATTGTATTTAAACTATCTATATGTCTTGATGACTGGTCACCATTAGGATGTTTAAACAACTAATTGGATTCGGTCGGAATATCACTAGAGGATTGAGTATGGCTTCTTGTGATTAATAGTTGTTAGTTCACTTAAGGCGAATATCACACTCTTAAGGGTTGCATGGTTTTTCAAAAGGTTTTCACAAAGCTAAATGAGTCTTGCATGTTTACATTTGATCTAAATTGCATAGTAGATATACATTCTTTCTTGAATTTCACGAGGAGAATACGCATAAGGAAAACCAAACCTTCAAAGTTGCATGTGTAATTCATAAGTAATTGGTACTACATAGGATTGTTAATGGCGACGGGTAACCTCAGGGCTTTTTACATTTGGTTTTCCAAAACTATTTTATTTTCTCTTTGTTACCAAGTTTTCATTAAAATCAATTTCAATTATTTTATGTCTTTTTGTTTTAATTCACAATTCCAAAAAAATTTCAAAACTTGTTTTCAGTGACTAACTAAGGCTTAGTTTAAATACAAGTTATTCGTATCGATCCTTATGGAGAGTGACCTTGCTTTGTGCCGTTTATAAAACAACTACCTTATTCTCTTGCAAGTATTTTTAAGTGTTTTTATCCTTATTTTCGCGCGTGGTAACAATCCTACTTTTGCAAGGTCGTTCTTCACATGGATTGATATGAATAACTTGTATTTAAACTACCTTAGTTAATCATTTAAAACAAGTTTTGAAAAAGTTTTGGAATTTGGAATTAAAATAAAAGGACATAAAATAATTGAAATTGATTTTAATGAAAACTTGGCAACAAGGAGAAAAATAAAATAGTTTTGAAAACCAAAGGTAAAAAGCCTTAGGGTTTAGCCGTCATCAATAACAATTCTATGTAGTACCAATTACTTATGAATTACACATGCAACTTTAAAGGTTAGGTTTTTCATATGCGTATTCTCCTCGTAATATTCAAGAAAGAACGTATATCTAACATGCAAAGTGCTCTACTGATTCAACTGATGAGTATTGCAGACTATAGGTGAGTTCACAACTCTTGAATGCCTCAAAATATTTTGTGCGACCATTGAGGCCATTTACGAGCCTACTTTCCTTCAAGGCCCAACTCTAGCCGACCTTCAGAGGCTCCTCCGCAAGGGACAACAACGAGGATTTCCAGGCAGGTTTGGTAGTCTAGATTACATGCACTAGAATGGAAGAATTGTCCAACAGCTTGGGCACGTTAATTCAAGGTTAACACAAGAAGCCAACAATTATTCTGGAAGTCGTGGGTGTTTTCGTTGTACTACGCTTTCTTGTCGCGAAATTATGTACTTTAAGTCAATCTATTCAATTTGTATGATTAATAAAATTGGTGGAGCTTATGGAAAAAGTAACCATGAAATACAAAACAAGGCCAAAATTATAAATAATAGTCCATAACATAAACTAAAAACTTGAACAATAATTGAAAACTTAAATGATAGTCATATAAATTAAAACCATTCGCTTTGTCCTGGTGATGGGATTGGAAAGTAATCGGCGGGGTTGAACCCGACTCTTGTACATTATGAGTCGTCAGAATTGCATCTTGCATATCACGGTAATACTTCTTCTTTCTTGGAGTATATTGGCTGAGGTCCTTGGACAGAATGGAGTCCTCATAACTTTTTTGTCCAACGACATTTGCTCCTGAAGGCTGAAGGAGGTCCATGTTGAACCAATCGCTCCATACATGTAGAATATGGTGAATTTTGGGCATCTCATGTATTCCTCCTTCGCCATGTATCCTTTTCTTGGTCTCGTCCCCTCGGCCTTCCGGAAGAATTAGGGGTGTCATTTACATCATCTCCCAATTTAGTGCTCTCATAGGTAGGTTGAGATGATCTTTCTCCATGCACACCATGTAGCTCTCCCCATGTCAGGGAGTCCTTCAAGATGTTCCTAGCATGATGCAACTTAAATAATCTTTTTTTTGTATTAACATTCTGAAATATGGTCAATGCATGGTCATCCTGCACATAAATAAACACAAGTAGTTTTTTGTTTTTTTTTTTTTGAACAAACGATATTATCCACAGGAATGGGCTAATAAACACAAGTAGTTGATAAACAGAAAATCCAACAAATTGATATATGAAGGTAAAGCCTCACCCTACTACACACGATTCTAAAATACTTCTAGAGGTTGATTGTTGCTCGAACACCTTCGTCAGAAACCAACCCCCCAAGCCTCACATAAAGCTTCATCTTTCTTTTTCTTTTTCTTTTTTTCCTTCCAATTTGGACCTCTTGCAGTTTATCCTAAAGACATCTTCAAAAAACAATTGAGGGAGAAAGAAGGATATGAAAATTATATGAGGAAGAAATTGATTTTGTGTAGATGAATGAACAAATGAATGAGTATATTATATATATATATAGTTTCGGATAATTTTTGAATTGGGTCCGTTTTAAAGTTTTCATTTTATTATTTTGTTCGTTAAATTTAAATTTCAGCAATTGGAATTTTTTATCATGGGTTTGAAAAAAACAAATATAGACGTTATTATCAAAATCAAAAGATTGAACAGAAAAAAGGAGTTTGATCTGAATCAATAGTCCAGAAATCGAAAGGCGAATCAATAGTCCAGAAATCGAAGGGCTCGGATTTTTTTTTTTTTTTTTTTTTGGTCAATCGAAAGGCTCGGTTTGAAACCAATATTACCGTTGGGCAGCTAGGTTCCCAGTAATGCAGAACGCAGTTATGGGCCACTTTCCCACAACTTCCGCCAGTTTATTTTTTAAAAGGTAGGCCCCTCCACATTTGGGTAAGGCAAGTAGAAAGTCAAATTTGGGTTTTGCGTTTGGATCAAAACCCAAATTTTTTGGGTTTAGGTCTTTTACCATTGGGTGACTTTTTTGGGTAATATTTGGGTTTAGGTGTTTGGGTTGGAGTTGGTTAAAGGGGCAAATGAGAACTTCAAATTTTGCTGGGTGGGAAGGGGCAAATATTTATTATTTCTTAATATTTCCTTGTCTTGCATCGCACTCTCCTATCACGTTCGGTTGCCACTTTTTCATCATTCCCATCTGCAGTTTTGTTTACATGTTTTGGGTGTACTGTGTGTATACCACCAATCACATCTCTCTCTCTCTCTCTCACTTTCATGTTGATATCTGCCTCTCTTTCAGCACCCTCCATCATAACACCCTCTCGAATTCCTCAGCACGCCTTCTTTTTCCTTTTCCGACCACAATATTTATTAATTAACACATGACCTAGCCAGCAATCTACTTCAGCCAAAAAAAAGTTTCCCAACTCTCAAGAAAAAAAATGGGTCTTGAAATATCAGAAGAAGATCGTTTCAGGCCAATTACTCCGATTCGAGTTGCCATTCCAATTCCACAAGCTTTAAAAAAGACAAAGAAGGAGGAGGAGGAGGGGGCAGTGGCGGAGGAGCTTTTGCATTTGGAACATGAAGAAGAATGCCACACACCCAAGTCACCTGCTGCTCACGTGACCTTGAAGCAACTACCATCAGTGTGTCCACCAGCACCCAAGAAACCTCGCCAAGCTGCCAGAAGAAGTTTGAGGAGGTTATGGCCTTCAAAATCAAAATACTTTTTTAAGGTTCCAGACGATCTTGAATCGCTGTTTATGGTTATCACTGGTACTAATACTCCTGCGAAGAATTTAAGTGTTTGGAAAACTTAATAATAATATTATTATATTAAATTTATTAATTGAATGGAAATTAGAAGGGGAGCCTTTTAGTAGAAAAATATGTCTACTTAAATGAAGTGTTGCAACTTTTGACTATTCATTAATAGTCACATGTTTTTCCAAATAGGTATCTCACATTCTATATATAGGGAAGCCCCCAATAATCATATAAGAACTTTTCATTGTTTACATAATCATACATAGATATAGTGCATTCAATATTAGAGAGTCTCATTGAGTCCATATGAGAAAGTTTTCAACACAATCGTGGTTCATGGAGCCTTATGATTTGGAGTGCTACTATTACAAGAACGTGGTCATTGTATATTGGGAGATATGCGCCAATCAACCATGAGCACCATAGTGAGGCGTAAACTTGTCTTAAGGGCAAAGTGTCCAACACTTGCTTTGAACGTATTTTCTAGGTTTTTCTAATCCATTATAAAATGTTCATTTAACATTGATTACTCACGTCAATGTATTATTTTGATATATAATTGCATGAATTATTTCTTAATTTTCTATGTAATTTAATATAGCAATTAGACTCTAATTTTTCAACAATCTTAATACAAGTTTATTGGTTTATTTGCTATATGTTGGCGAGATAGAATTTTGTATGTTCTTCCTTTTGTCCAATATTGTTATGCATATTGATTACAATAGTGCTGCCTATATATCATATATTAATTGACTATTCGAAGACATATATATTGTGAAGCGGTGCATTTGCTTGTCTAATGAATCATATTCTTACCATAGTACTGACTGATATTTCCGTTTTTATATATGAATCACGATTCATGATTATGATATTAATCTTGGCGCATGGTGACAATTAATTTTTTAGTTATCTCTTTGTTCGAAAAACCAATTTCAGATGTTATTATTTGGCAATTTTAATGTACCAAAGAATGCGCCACACAGATTTGAAGGAATGTATCAGGAACAATTGATTACAATTTTCATGTTAAACCTTTTGAGTGCAGATTGGTTTCTTGGAATAAAACAAAGTGGTAGAGCGGTTTGACAATTGAAACCGTTTGTCATCAGGCATATGTTTAATTATTTGAATATAAATCATAACGTTTGCCTAGATCGGCTACTGATTGGCGAAAGGATGTGGTAGGCTGGAAATTACATCCTTCCTGCCAAGCCCAAAAAGGGAACGGCAATGACTGTTCAAATCCGAACAAATGCATGAAAGACTAAACAGATGCCATCTTTCCAAAAATGTTGAAAGGGCATGATGACTTATGGGTCTATTGTCAGACAGTAACTATATTGAGTTACAGAGATGTGGTTATGATTTGATCCTTTTCAGACTAACGAAAGAGATCAATGGTGTCTATGAATGGCATCAGTTTGCAGTTGGCAATCATGTCTTCATGCTAAAAACGTAAATGGTGTATCTTTTGCATTTAAAATGAAAAGATACGTTAATTGGTAAAACAACCAAACACATATGTTGGATTACATGAATCGTACCATGAGTCATAACTAATTGAGAGGCTTTGCCATGTGTGTGTGATTTCATGTGAAGTTCGAGTTTAGTATTCGCAAGAAAATTTACTTCACACGAACCTGATCCGTTGTAATGAATTGTATTAAAATGAAACGGTATATAAGTTATAACCCTAAGGGAACTAGACACACGGCTCTTGGTGTAGTCAGAACTCATTATTACATTGTAACAAATGCATGTTAAACTCATTTTGCATGAGACAACTCTGGAAGATGACAATTAGACTGTGGGGGGCAAGGTCTTTTCGAAAGACTTAAAGCACTCTATAGATGAGTCTTTAACAATGGGAAATTTGAAAGTTGTCAAGACAGGGCCCTAATAGGTGAAGATAGATATGATATAGAAAGTCTATTTTCATTGGCTTTCTTCTTAAGTATGATGTATGATGAAAGAGTTATTAATAGCATTAAAGCAACCACAATGTTTGTGAATTGTAGGGGTGGCTTAGCTATTTTTGAGAAATATGATATTTAAAAATAACGCAAAAGTAATTTGCTTCTAGAAAGAGATAACGATTACTTATAATTGAAGTTTTAAGGTATTGAAAGGTTGGAGATCTTCTAGCAAATACCTTAAATGTGGGGGAGTTAACCCAAATGTTAGCAAATTACTTAGTAAGTCCTAATATATCTTTGGAGCACTTAACGTTGGAAAACAACTACTCTCAAACGAAAGTTATTTCCATGCATGGATATAAAGTTTGCAATGGCCATATAATGAGTAGTCAACCTAGTGGTACCAATTTTTAAAGGTTTGACTAGAGAATAAGTTGTATCATCGAGGGTAATGGGTTAAAAGCCTACGTCTTAAGAATCGCCATAATGGCAACCCAACCTAGCTAACTGGAGATCCCAAGATCTAGGTTCAAAGGGACAACCGAATTGTGGATGATTCAATGGGAGCACTGCGGAGATAATCTCATACCCATGTCCTATGATGAAACAGTGTTATCTGCCGCGTATTTAGGATAAGCTTTGCTTTTAATGATTCCTATACTTGGAAATAACAATTGAGGTATTGCATGATACTCTTAATGGGAAGTCACCTATCTTGAATGAGGAATGAGGTTGTTCCTGTGAGAATTTTTTTGAAGGGCTTAGTTCTCTGATAGGAGCATATTCATGCGACTTAAATGGCTTGTTCTCGTGCATTTACGTTATGTTTCTCTAGTTATTTTAGTCCTTTATGCTTCTTTTGTGTGTTTTCAGGTTCTAAGGGCCTAGGGAGCAAGAAAGTGCATTTTGAGGCCATTTGGAGCATTTTTGGGCATGGATTGGATAGCTTATCCATGGAGCCAAAAGGATGGACGAATTTGAAGGCCTTGTATTCACTTTGGACATAAAACAAAGGGCCTAGCCCATTCTCTCTTATTCTCTCCCTTATAGCCATGCAAAGAACCATCCATTCCATAAAAAACAATCCATCAATTCACATGCAAAACCACCATTAACATACATGCACCCAAACAAAGCCAACCTAGCTAACCCTACATGCATTCTTTATTCACTCTTCATCATTGCATTCATTCTCCAAACACTTTCATTAATTAAAACACATTTGCACATCCATTCATTCTTTCCCCAAAGCCGTGCATTCCCAATCCCTTTCCAACATTTCACATGCATTTCCACCTTGGTCATGCTTTCCCATTTCATTAATCATTCACTTTGCATTCATTCAATCAACCCACATGCACTTTAATCATTCAAACATGTAGCCACATAATCATTCACCCTATCCATTCTTTGTCACAAAACAATGTCACATACACTCATCATCACACAACCTAGCTAACCCTACATGCATTATTTATTAACTCTTCATCATGCATCAACATTTTAAATCATCAAAAATCAACCCATTGCCGTGCATAATTCCTCAACCATTTCAGCCACATTCTTCCACTTTGCCTTTCATCATTGCACCACAAATCAATCAACACATGCATTCCCTTCACATTCACCCACATACACATTTAATCATTCATTTCCCAACTCAATACCGTGGCCTTCAAACTCCCTTTGCATTTCCCTTTTCATTTCAGCTGCACCTTTGTCCTAACATTAGAACACTAATCATTCACTTTTCATTATATAATTCATGCTCCAACATGCATATGTTCCCCCCCTAGCTGTCTATCCCATGGATTAATCATCCAAGCCATATTCTATCCTTGAACACATGCAATCACATGCATTTCCAACACAAAAACACCTTCAATGCCGTGCCTTTCCCTTAGATTTTCAGCAACTTCTCTTCATCATTCAACCACCACTTGCATATATTCCCCCCCCTAGCTGCCATTCACAACATTCACATGCAAACACATGTTTTTCCCAACAACCAAATCAGCCAACACATGCACCAAAACATCCATGCCGTGCATCCCTTCCACTTTCCAGCATTCCCCTTGTGCAATTCCAGCTTTCCTTCCACTTTCCTAGCTGATTTTCACATGCATTGCAGCCACATTCTCACCCATTCTCTCCCTATATAAACCACACACACTTCATTCATTTGGCATTCATTCACTCCCCACTCCATCTCCATTTCTCACACCACAACTAACACAAACACTTCCCCTTAGAATCCAAAACCGTGAGTCCCCCTTCCACTTCTCCTCCATTGCTTCCATTTCCACCACTCCTCATCCATTTCCATAATCCCCCAAACCTCACCTTAGACCTTGTGCTACAACAACGAGGAAGATAAGAGGGCCTAAACGTTCATACAATTCAAGTTTGAGTTGTTGGAATGTTTAGGTGTTTCTTTGATTTCAAAGTTTAAATTCAATTCTCTTTGTTTTGTACGTATGAGGAATGGAAGAGAAGAGTGCCTAAACGTTCATACAATTCAAGTTTGAGTTGTTGGAATGTTTAGGTGTTTCTTTAATTTCAAAGTTATGAGGAACTAAACCCCCTTTAGCTAGGGGGTGATTCGAAACTATGTTTATATTTGCAATATGAATTGATTAACTTTCGTTGGAATTTCATAAGTTGTTGATTCAATTTGTTTAACCGTTTGATTGATAACTTATTTATGTATGTTTATTAAGAATGCGCGCTTAATTTTCATGCATGAATATGACGCTAGAATATAAGTGAATTTCACCTAATCGTTATGAACTTATATTCACAAGTAGTGGAGGTTGCTTATAAACAATCGCGTTAAATGAATTCTTGGCATAAGTTTCATGCGTATTCCATAGTAACGAATGCCTCGTCAACACTTATAGTTTTCATGATGCTTAATGATCTTTGATTGTATCTTTATTGTGCTGTTCACGTAAAGGACTTTTGGAGAATGTTGTGAATTGCGTTGCGCTAACCCATCCAATTCATTAACTTAAGGAAAACTTGACGGTTAATTTAAGCGGACCTAATTAACCCGGAGTGTTGAGTTTCATGACTTATCGAAAGACCAACTGAGAATCAATCTTGTATGCAAGTGTAACATGTGTGAAGAA